CGTGCGTGCGTGCGTGCGTGCGTGCGTGCGTGCGTGCGTGCGTGCGTGCGTGCGTGCGTGCGTGCGTGCGTGCGTGCGTGCGTGCGTGCGAGCGTGCGTGCGTGCGTGCGTGCGTGCGTGCGTGCGTGCGTGCGTGCGTGCGTGCGTGCGTGCGTGCGTGCGTGCGTGCGTGCGTGCGTGCGTGCGTGGGTGTGTGTGTGTGTGTGGGTGGGTGCGTGCGTGCGTGCGTGCGTGCGTGCGTGCGTGCGTGCGTGCGCGCGTCCGTGCGTCCGTCCGTGGGTGCGTGCGTGCGTGCGTGCGTGCGTGCGTGTGTCTGTGTGTGGGTGTGTGTGTGTGCTTGTGCGCTTGAGGAGCGTGTGAGCGTGCGCGGGTGCGTGCGTGTGTGAGCGGGTGTGTGTGTGTGTGTGTGGGTGCGTTGTGTTATGGTGTTGTGTGTTGTGGTGTTGTGTGGTGTTTTGTGGTGTTGTGTTGTGTTGTGTGGTGTTTTGTGGTGTTTTGTGGTGTTGTGTGGTGTTGTGTGGTGGTGCGTAGTGTTGCATAGTGTTGTGTGGTGCTCTGTGGGGTTCCGTTGTGTGGTGTTGTGTTGTGTGGTGTGTTGCGTTGCATTGCCATGTGCGTGTGCCCGTGCCTGTGCGTGTAACAGCACGGACGTGGGTGTGCGGCGTGCGCGCGCATACGCGTGCAGGTGCGGGTACGCAAATGTGCATGCAATTTGTATAGGTGCGCGCGCGCATTGCTTTTCACCTCTGCCAGGGCGCCCGCAAACACTGCCCCATCGTGAGGTTCCAGAACTTGAGGACTCCATCCTGCGATAGTCAGGCCAGAGATATCATCGAATTAGAGCGTTGCGGCTGCTCCAAGCCCACCCGGACTTTGGTTTGTTTGTCGCTACCTCAAGCTTGAACTCTCAAGCCAGGCTGGGCAGCAGCTTCCGGTGGGCCTTGCCCCCTTAGCATTGCCTTCTACAGGAGGGTGCAAGCCTGTGATTGTGGATGCATGGGGTTCCTGTTTAGTGAATTTCTTAAACCATTGGGTGCAACCCTGTGATTGTGGATGCATGGGGTTCCTGTTTAGTGAATTTCTTAAACCATTGATTAAGCTTCCCTTGATGAGTTTCCAGGTAGACCAGGTGCTTGTTCCTTGGGAAGAACATGTTCTGCAAGCATGACAAGACTTCCCATGACTCGGGTGGGCGGGGGCATGCTTATGTGCCTTCCGCACTTCTGAGAGCCAAGGTTCTCGCTGCCCTTAAGGCTGGACTCACCTGTGGAGCCAGACTTTCGGAACCACAAACAGCATGAAGCAGCAAATTGTTGTCACCTTGATACTAATGTTCAACCGATCTATTGCTGAACTTCTCACAGACAGTTCGCATTCAACACACTTTGGAAAGCATTGAGCTGAAGCGAGAAACTTGGCTTGCCCATGCAGTGCAATGGAAAGCGGTTTTCAATCTCGCCTGTCGCTTGTGGACTGGTGAGTGTTGTGCGCACGCTCCGTAAAATTGTAACTTACAGCTTTTTGTTGGAGGGTGCCCGGAATGCAAGTTCATACAGATTCTCTTCCAACACCGCGCGTGTGGTATTGTTTCAACTTGGAGGTCTCAAACATGCAAGTCATTGTCCTGGTGTTTAGATGGACTTGGCTGCATTTTGATGGCTCACCCAAGCCCGTCAATGCGGAGCAGCACCATACAATACTACTTACAATGCATTGTGTGTTTGTGTTTTGTTGAGGGCGGGGGGGCACAAAAGCAAGCCAGTGACGTTCTTCCTTCCGCTGTTCCCTCAGAAAAGAACAACCCTACTGCGAATGCCTGTAGCCGGACTCTGACCTTCAACGTACAGTAGCGTAGGCCCCGCTTCTAGTCCCTTTGGTTTGCCTCCCCCTTGACTTCCCGAAAGAACAACACCTTGTGCGTGAAAACCCCAAACGATATAGACACTATTGTCTATGCCCGACCTTTCCACATTGTCACAGTTTTTTTTTAACCGTTTGGGGACCTCATGTTCCTTCAGGAGAAAATGCTCCTTCCGAATCTGGAAACTGGTACCGGAGGGGTCCCTTTGTTGGGAGATGCCTCCCCCTGCCATGCATTACTTCGCGGGTGGGATGGAGGGCTTATATCAATCACATCCCTTATCAAGCTACTAAGGTTCCTCGAAGGATACATCAGAAGCCCCATAGCTTTACAAGGGGATCCTCCAAATCAGCTAGTACAGATCACAGTACCTTTTGACTGGCCCAAATGCATCCTTTAAGGGAGCCTGCTTGTGAGATCCAGTTGCTCAGTGACACTGGTAGAAAAAAGGAAACCTGAAGCACCTATTCGGGGTTGGCCATTTTCAGTGGGGAATCGCCAAACAAAAAGGTAAAAGGGTGGGAGAAAGAAGCAACGATCTTCGCTTGGTCCTCGCCGGATGTGAGCGCGCTACGGCCAGACCAGTCCACGTCGAGCACCCGGACAGGGGAGCCTTGGAAGCTGAGGTTGTGCTCAGTTTTCTGTCTTTCCGAGAAACCCTCGCACCCCTTGCCCACCTTCATTTTCGGAGGTGTACCACCTGCAAGGCTGCAAAACACAAACATCGAACTGGGATGCTGATGCCAAAAACAACTCGCATCACCTTTGCGCCGCACACAATGCAATGCCTGAGGGACTTGCAAAACAAGAAGCTAGCTACGCATTCGAGGACTGTGGCGGTGAAATTCAAACATGTCATGAATTGCATGCTCTTTCTTAACGTGTAACTGGGCCAGCCAGAACGCCGACGCCAAGCGTCTATGCGCATCCATGATCTTTGACGGCGCAGTGGCGCCGCCGCGGCAACCTCAGTTGTTCAAGGGCATCAAATGGCATCAAGCAGCGCAAGGCCCATGATCAATGCAAACAACCGTGGTTCACTGGTTCACTGCTCAAGCTGCAAGGCAACAAGCAAGTTCGATTCTCCCACGTCCTGTCCAGATTGACATGCTCAGGTTGCCCTCAAATAATCGCACCCAGGAAACCAAGGCAACACCCCCCCCCCAAAACAAAAGAAAGAAGCTTTTAGAGCCTCATTGAGGGCTCTTGGAACCTGTCTGGGGCTTTTGTCCAGTTGTCATCTTGGGCTAAGCCACTCCAAAGGTAGAGCCTGCCGTCGGCCGCGCCAATGGCCAGCTCTGAAAGGTTCGGCACTGCTGACCTTGCCCAGTTCTCATGTTCTCATTGACCCGTGTCCAATCCGTGAGTGGGCCCCAGTGAGAAAAATAAGGAACCCGTTTTGGGCGAAGCAGCGGGGTCCGAGAAAGAGTTTATACAGGCTTCCTGGCAAGCACGGGTTCATAAACTGAAGAATCTGACGTTGATGCTCACTGGGAGGCCCCGTGAAGCCTGAGCCGGCAGAAATGCGGCGGAGCCTGGGCTCACAAATGGCAATTGAAGTCAGACCCACCAACGGGAGTCTAGTTCAGAATCCGTTTCGCAGTGGCATGAAGAAAGTCACTGAATCAATCGAATCTGATCATTGGCTCTGAATTCAGTCTGGGGTCCGTGTGAAGACGGCAACGCTGTTCAAGTGCTTTGGAAACAGTGGGCCCAGGCAGGAAGGCGACCTGCATTGGGGTTTGCAGAGCGCATATACCAACGTATATCAACCAACCTATGCAGTGTTCAGGCCAAGATGCATGCAAATGATCTGCGGATGTTCTTCAGCAAGAGTCTTCAGTACCTCTGCAGATCACCCAGATGCTGTGCTGTTGTGCAGGTGGGGAGGGATCGATTTCTTAGTTGACGGCGGCCCTAAGAGCAATGTGACATGCAATGTCTCTAAGACTCAGCTCGATCCGACAAATTATTAACTACATAAAACTTAAAGCTAGGGGGTCTGATGAACGATCGCTCAAGCAGTATCAGTACTCCCTCCTAACATCAGTAGCATCAGTTGTCAGCTGTAGCCTCATTGCTCGGGCTTCAGATGGCTTGCTCGCAGTGTCAAGGGCCAACGTCGTGTACCCCTGAGGTTGTACCCCTAGGTGCGTACCACAACTCACTTAAAAAAACCATACCCCGCCTGGCTCTATACCAGCTGCATAGCTACATTAGAAGAATGTGGTTCGAGTCCACTAGGGCACAGCGAGAGTAAACTAAACTCTAGAAGCCAATGCGCATGCATTGCCCCAACCAGGCGCCATGACTCACTCAAGCAATAGCTCGCTTAACCTTCATCCCCAGATAGGCGAGGTGTTTAGGTCCAAGCGTACTGTCAACTAGTTCTGCCAACGTTCTACTGCGCCAAATATGCCACGAGGCCCATCTAAAAACGACGTCTTGAGAAATCCGCCAGATTGTTGTTTTTCTTTGTTTTTTGTGCAAAAAACAAAACAATGATTGAGGATCTGTCTACACCACGTGACTCAACCAACCAGGGGGGATTGTGTCATCTACTTTCACCCAACTGTGATTATTTTGGACATTTTTGGACCATGACAGAAGCTGGAAGTTGAAACTTATCTTAACAGCACCGCCAGCGAAATCTCAGCTACGTCCCCTCGAGGCTCAAAGTGAATCATAAGCAGGGCCATCAAACCAAACCGGGCAGCGCGCAACGCGCCTGCAACAGGCGAAGGTCCCAAATCATCACTCGGCCATCCACACATCCCATGATCGCCTGCATGTCCGGCCAGTTCGCCTCATTGATGTGGACCCAATAGCCGCATGGACTGGAATGTGAACTCCACTCCGTGAGAGGAACGAATCACTTCATGGCAGAATTGGTCCCCAGTGTGCTCAACCAAATTTATTCGAATGGCTTCATGATGCGCGCCACCATGAAGTACGTCATGGAGGTCCACTCCACGAGATTGAACATGGAATATATGTTTTTTCTTTCGGTGTCTAGTTCAGCTTGGCTTTCCTTTCTACCACCAGGTGGGTGCAATTACAACCAATGGCCAATGCGCTAGACGCACTCTGAACTATCGCAAAGGGCAGGCCTAGCTAACCCAAACAACACGTTTTTTGTTTTTCTCCGTGAGCCAGGATTTCCCAAAGAACAAACATATTTCTACTTCTTGGTTTGGGGAGGGTAAACCTCCAACTTTTGGAGAGGAACAGGGGCGGGTGGTGACGCCCTGCAAAACGCCACACAAACCAAAGCAACAAACAGCGCAGCCCTGCCAATTGCCGTCGCAGGGTCCACTAGTCGTCGCGCTAGATGCTGCTTCTCTGCGCGCTGCACCCCTGGAATCCCCCAAAGAAGCAGCGAGCCGTCAGCGCAAGCACAAAGCGCCTGACCAGGCGCTGCCGGAAGGTCCCTGAATGCAGTAAATGGATCCACGCCTTGGGGAACGCTCCAAACTCCACATTACTTCCGGGGTGCAGACTCAAATGTTGTATTTGTGGTTGGCTTTAAAATGGTCTGAGAATGTGGTATAAGAATGCAGTAGATGCACCAAACCATCTCTTTCTGAACAGCCAATGTTGATGCCGCGCAGCTCAAGACCGGAAGCCACTAGACACAAGCACCACTGAGTCACTAGTGCCGCCACTGAAGTGCCCATAAATTCTGCTGGGACTGCGCAGGTTCGCAAATTATGCCAAGAACCTGCCCTTGTGCCGACTCACTTGGCGGCACACCAATTTGATGGATAGAAATGGCCAAGCAAACCCCTTCTGGTGTGTCGTTGCCGTGTCTGCAAGGGCTTTGTGTTTCTGCGGCTGCGCCAGCCTGGTGCTCAACCCAGTCCATTTCCAGGCAAAGGGCGTGACTAGGAAGGTCCTTGCTGCGAATCGAGGGTCTGCGAAGGTCAGCAAACAAACGTCCAACAAAGAAGCGGAATACCGCCCACCCCCCGCACCTACATACATATACATATATATATATATATTATGAATATGTACACAAACACATCGCACAACGACACACACACACACACACTCCCTCTCTCTATGGCACCGAGACACGGACAAAAGCACGGGTACCAACACAAGGACACAAGCACAAACGCCCAAGCACAGGCATGGACGCAGGTAGAGACACAAAGATGCAAACAAAGAAACACGCGCGCACACACACACAAACACACAAGCGCATAAACACTCACACATGCAATGCACACATGTGCACCAAACACAAAACGTGCGGTCACGCGCGCAAAACACACAAACTAGGACAACACACATCTCAGAGACAAGGACCCACACACTTAAACTCCAGATGGAGGGTGCTAATCTTTCGAGTACAACTGATGAGTCTCGAGTACAACTGATGAGGCTCGAGTACAACTGACAAGTCTCAAGTCGGATAAGGTTCGGCTGGCAGGTCACTTGGCTTCACTCTAGTGTCGAAAACGTTACAAGTTCCAACATGAAGCACACACAGCGAGCGAAAGAAGAGGGCCAAATAAACTTTCAGAAACATCACGATTGCAGGTACGTCCAACGGCGTCCCGTTGGATTTCACCAGCAAAGAAGGGCGTCTTCGTTGGCGCAGGTCCCTTCAATGCTGCCCGCGCCCCCTGCTACTAATTGTGGTGACAGGGAATTCTGCCACTCCGCACACACACGCCCCTCAGTGAGGGGCGAGAAGTCTCTTTTTCAGCAGGAAGATCACATACTCAACTGCGTATCTCTATCGTTTACCAAAATATCCACAGCGGCGAGGAGAACGCGAAACTGCCCGAAGCCGCTCAGAAGACGGGAACGAAAGATCACCACGATGAGCATGACGGGTGTCGCCATAGAAGACCGGAGGAAGTTGCAAAGCAGTCGAGCGATCACCGTCAGAAATAGGGGGGGCATAGGTGAACATCTCCTCGACTCGGATTATGTCCGAATTCTGCACGTCAACAAGTGATTGATCCTGGGCTTGATGAGTGGAGAAGGACTCAAAGCGAGAAAGAATGCGTTGGTAACCTTGATGCTGCCAGTCGCGAATTGTCCACGCCTGACTGTGTTCACCAGTCCCACCAATGGGATCAGTTACCCGCTTCCACTCCCGAAACGAGTTGTTTGGTAGGTCAGGTACGGCTTCTTCTGGTTGCCACAGCTGAGGTTGTCCCGGAGTATAGATCCGCACCCACTCCTGATCCTGCCAGACTGAATATTCGAGCGGTTCCGATCCAGCTAGCAAAGAAACAGTCACCATGCACAACCATGCACAACCAGCAACTACACAAGAAAGCACGAGCATGAGAAAGCACCCTTTTGTGCCATGATCAACACGCATCAGTCTATTCATCATTTAGCTCGAAGATAGGCTTCTCCTTGGTGATGGAGCTGCATGGTTGGGTCGTAGGTAGATATGGATCAGAGACCCCAATAGACTCAGGTGGTTCAACTCCACGAGATGCACGTACTGGTTGATGCTGATGGGACGCTTGACGCGCGCGATCCGACAGTTGCTGAGAGATCCCATCTTGAAGACGAGTGAGATCCTCAGTGGAGAAAGCCGCAGCATCCGATGATCTAAGAATCGCATTCAACATTTGCGGTGACATACACAAAGCCGATGATTCACGCTATGTTGACCAGGAAAAGACATCGAATTGAAGCCGTGAACAGCTGAGGGGCAGCGACTCGCTGGTAGCCCTCTGTGGCCCAGTCCCTTTTGTACCAAATGCTGTTGTTGGGCTGCCCGCCTTCTTGATCAAAATTTGGGACACAGAACTCTTTCCACTCTCTGTATGTATGGGGCGGAGGCGGATCATCACGTTCGTCCTGTGGAGTCCATGATCCCGGATGAAAAATCTTGACCCATTGAGCATCTGGTTGTTGAGGATCCGGACACCACTCCAGCCACGGCATGACAACTCAAACCCTTGATGCAAAATCGAGAGGTGCACGGCTGCAGACTACAAGCACTACATGTGACACAACAACAAACATGCAAGCAAACACTTTTGTAGCAAGGCGCGGCTCAGGTGTCGAAGTCACTCGCCCCAATCAAATTGAATATCATGGAAAGACGAGGACGAACATCAGCCACCATCCGAGTTCGAGGATGCCGACGAAGAGGACAGCCCAGCGTACATGAGGTCTGGTGATCCCGAAGCGAAAACTGGACGTGCAATGTTGGGGCGCGGATGGCCGAGCCGTTGATATCCTCTGGTGACCCAGTCACGATACTGCCATGTGTAAAAGGATGCATATGAGACCGGCTGGGAAACAGAGCCCAAAGTGGTGCCTCCCGTGCTGTCACTAGGCCAATACACGTCGAAGTGGTAGAACCTGCGCCATTCCCGATAGGTTGTTGTGTCATCCGGAGCCGGTCCCAAGGTGGATTCGGCGACTGGTTGCCACGGACCGGGTACATAGACTCGAATCCATTCAACGCTTGTGCTCGCAGGGCCATTGACGATGTCGTACTCAAAATAGCGTGGTAGGGACCATCTTGCAGTGCCACATATTGTGGAATTGAACATACCAACCAGATAAGCCGCTTTGAGGCAAAAGGGAGCGGCGAAAACATGGAGAAGGAAAGCGCAACACAAGCCAAGACAACCCAAGTTGATGCAGCAATCAAATCAGGCACAATCGCATCGTTTTATCCGACATGTTGCTCAAGCATCAATCCGATTCGTTCCAATCAAAATTAGGATCATAGCTCGGTGGGGGAGAAGGTTCCCGCCACGCCCCATCCGGAACTGTAGACTCCGACGAGGAAGTAATTTCTTCATTCACGAGCTCCGTCGATCCAATGGCTGGTCGTGGATTGCCAAGGCGTTGATAACCTCGCGTGTTCCAGTCTCGGAATTACCACACGTGATATGACACGTACGACATGGGCATGACATTGGGGTCCGCAGCTGTCCCCGCGGTGCTGTCTGCGGGCAAGTACACGTCAAAGTGATATGACTTGCGCCACTCCCGATACGTGGAAGCGTAGTCCGGGGCACGTCCCAGGGTAGCTGTGGCCACAGGTTGCCACGGGCCCGGTGTGTAAATTCGAATCCACTCCACGCCTCTCTCGATGTGGTACTCAAAATAGTGCGGGTACATGATAGCCAAATGTGTCGTCACAGTGCTGTTGAAAGAAAGCGCAAAGCCAAGGAATCTGCGGCGAAACACTCATGCCATGACAACCCTGACTGCAATGTGAATGTGTTTAGCAACGCAATGCAAGGCAACTTTTCAAACTGAAGGCGGGACGAATCAACAAAGTCTGTAGTATACGACAACTATGATTCACCGCCGCTGATGCCGCACACACCTGCAATGGTAATGTCCTGGTCGGCGACGAGCACAGGGAGAAAGACACTTCCGTCCATGATGTAGAAAAGCATGACAGTAATGCTTGCAACTTGTCGATGCAGACCGTGATGGACGAGTAGCCCGTTTTGAAGGGAACACAGTGAAGGGTCGCCGAGATCTCCGCATGACAGAAGCGGATGTTGTTCGAGAGCGTTTTGGAGAACGCGTGAGACTGCGTAGATCATCATCACGGAACTGGTCAGCGCTGCGTACCGAGCGGCGTGTGCGCTGAGATTTCATGGTGGCCGGGCATGACTGTCCTCGAGGAGAGGGGCTCGAGGAGGCTCGCAATGAGGGCATAAACTGTGGGTGAAGAATCACCGGTGGTGGTGGTGGTGGAGGAGGTGGAGGTGGAAGAAGTATTGGAAACCGTGGCGGGGTTGGAGGTGAAGCAGTCAATCGAACTGGTCTGTCAAGCAATGTACCAGGCCCGTGAAAACTGTAACCACGTCGGCTGCGCTCCATGGGTCCAAGCTATGAATGTCTGCACATCTTGCTCCAACATGATTTGAACACTCAAACCCGCAAGTCGAAGAGATACACGCGGTAGCAGCTCTGCCATGCATGATATCCAAGTCATCAACAACTTTCATGACAACCAACAATGCCCTCAATGTCAGAAATGTCATGAATGTCTTTCAAGTCCTCACTGCAAAGTATGCCAGCCATGTCATGCAAGCAAGAGAGAAAAGAATCATGCGATCTACCATGTCTGCAATTCAAACCATCTCGTCAACTTGCGAATGCACTGCCACCTTCCGGGAGTCTTTCGTTCTCTCGATGCAAAGTGCCCTAAGCGCGAGCCTCAAGCTGCTGGTAGACCTTCCAGGCTTGCTTGACTTCCTCTGTGGGCTTCTGAAGGAAACGGGCAATGGTTTTGTAGGTGGGCCTGGAATCCTTGTCCTTTTTCCGTCTGACCGTCTCATCTAGTTCACCCTGTGTGCATGCCGTGAACGGTTCAAGATGTGCATTGCGAAGGGCAGTAGTGAATTCTTGTAGAAGTTCACGAGGTCCATGAACCACCGTGGGAGATGGACGGAACGATGAAGCACCTGGATGTGGACGAACTGAACCATCCGAATCCGAATCAGGTGTGGTAGGCGATGCCTGTCCTGGTTCACGACCGCTGCGAGGGGGAAGGGGAGCAAGAGGTCTTGGCGGTGGTAACCGATCCAACATTGTCTCCGGACGGCGACCAGAAGTGCTGTCAGTGGCATCCCGATGTGCCGCACGAGGCGGGGATAGTGCAGGTATATACCAGGTGGAGGAAGTATCCACAGGCCGGGTTCGGATTCGAGTAGGAGTGCGAGACCGATCGGACGAGACGCGCTCTGTGATGATGCGAGGGCGCAGTCCATGCCTGGAATTCCGTGGAGCCCTGGGAGACACTCGGGTGTCGGACTGCTGGTTTCGCTCTGTCGCCAGGGCAAAGTTCAGGGTGTCCAGGGCAGTCGCTACTTGGGATGCGAGGACATTGAGTACCGCCACCAGGTTGTTCACGAACTCCACTGACAACTGCATGGTAAA